TATGATTTTGTATTAATGTACATATATTTCATTTTGACAATATAAGTTTTCATTGACATTCAAACTTTTTAAAGGGGGAGGTGCTGTGAGGTGTGTTGTATTTGTATTGTTTCATCTTGTCTATTATTAGTAACATTAAGTTTCTTGAACATTCCAGAGTGGTCAACATGTTCGGTCATTTTTTCTAGAACATTCTTGAACTTTGTGTATGTCCAGAACTTTCCAGTAATATCATGTACTTACAACTTCTAGAATATTCTAGATTTATAATACTGTATAAATACTCTGTCAATTCAATGCATAGAGACGATTGTCGTATAAGCATCATTGAGGTATTACTGGGATATAATTTCACTGGGACATTGTGTGCAGCAACGGACACTCTGATGTATGTATTTTTAGATTCTTGCTAAGTTTGTACTTTATGTTTGATATATTTATTATATATTACTGTAAATAAATTATTGTTAAGTTTAAATTGTGTTATTGATCTTTGCTGGCATTTCAATTCTGACCCATAACATTATGTTTATGTCAACCTGTACAATGCTTAATATCATGAATGCACCCCTGAACTTTCAAAACAATACTTATTATCGACAGAATGAACTATCTTGAAAAGTTAGTTAAAGGTCAAGATGAAAAGTCATGAGGTGAGTAAACGTGGTATTTTACAAATGCTGAAATACTTAGTAATAATAAATGTGCAAAATATTGAATCCATATCTTTTGCAGTTTTCAAGATGTTAAGAATAGGGTATGAAAAACACACATACAAACAGACATATATCAGGTTAAGTTGTCCTTAATAGTCGCTCTGACACAAAAATAGGGAATGGAGGAATGAAGAATAATAACAGATTAAATTTAAGGTTGAGGAGTTGTATTAAAGAGTTTTTTTTAAAAGCTTTTCTCTATATTTTCCTATGTATTACGTTGATACCATTTGTGGCCCCACCTATATGACCCGTCCCTCGGGGGTTCATAATGTTGTATAAATATGAGATATAAAAATTATATATAAACTTTGATGTTTAGATTGTGCATTTTAGGGGAATATCATTTTAAAACTATGCCCCCGTTTTATTTTGCCCTACCCACAGGTGGGCGAATTTAAAACGGGGCGAATTCAATGATTACAGTATCATTTCTTAAACAAAACTCTAAGTGGGCGAATTTAAAACGAGCCAAAATTGTTTTCAAGTGTGAAAGGGCGAAAATAAAACAGGGCGAAAATAACCCTGTATACAGTAATCATTATTGAACATCTTTCTTTTATATTAAGATATATCTAAGGAATATACCAAATAATTTTGATCATCTTCAAATTTACAAAATCTTCATAAAGAAATGGCGATTTTGAAATTTAACTCATTCTATTGTAGAACGAGTCAGTGATAAACTTAATATTTACTAGTATTATAACAAGTGTATGTGGAGGAAATTATTGCCATTCTTGCGAACGAAGGGACAAAAGGACAAACGTTCTCATTTGCAATCAGTACAGAGGAACACAAGTCTAGGCATTTGCAATCCACTTTTTTATAAATATGTTGCACAATTTAATCCAATCAATATGCTTTTTATAATTATTGCACATTAGGTAATTGTACTCTTTCAATTATTTAGGTTCATCTACTGGTAAGTTGCCTAATAAACATTGTTTTCATGGCTTACCCTTTTCCCCTTAGAATGAATGTTCTTTTAAAAAGATTTGTTTATATATAGGGTATAAAGTTGAAGCAATTATGTTAATTTTTTATTTGTTCTTCTTTATCATATTTTTCACGTTTTCCATCCTTTTTATTCTTGCATATTTAAATATCTGTCCACATTCTAAAATCAATCATTAAATCTATATGACAGCAGCAACAACAACTACAACAGTCCTGTCAACAACGTTAACCCCGCTATCAACATCGGCTTGTCATACAAATACTGATTGTAGTGGACACATCTGTCCTTCTCATAAACACCCTTACTGCAAGATTGATGGACATTCTTCAACATGTCATTGCACAGGTAAAAACATGAACATAAATTAAGAAAATAATAATGACTCTTTTAAAATGACTTTTTTAATCTTTTTAAACTGTCATTTCAATATAGAATATAAATGATCAAGTTTTTAATTGAGCATAGGTTTTTTTGTGACAATTATGGGCCATACGTTAGTTATTGCGATGTCAAGACTCTCCTTCTCTTCTACTGAGTATTTAGTCGCTCGCGTGCGCAGTGGTTAGAGCGTCTGCTCTAGAGTTTCGAAGTAAGGAGATGATCCTTACGTCACGGGTTCAAATCCCACTGTGGGGCGTGGAGACCGGTCCTTCGAATGAGACTTATAAACCGAGATCTAGTGTCGCAGTAGGTGCTCTTAGGTAATTATCAGATAAAATTTAATGCATTGTTATAAGTAAGAATGTCGCTTTCAAAACATTGAATTATGGCGATCTGATCAAAGGTTCTGGTGTAAGGGGATATCTAGTTACTAATCCACTTAAAATGGAATCATTTAAAAAAAAATAATCTTCCTTTCTCCTTCTACGCGTCTGCAGCTGGAAAGATTCAAATAGTTCTGTTATTCTTGATCACTGCGTCAAATGTTCTGGTGTCGGAAAGGGCTCTATTGATATTGTAGGAAAATGTGTACTTTTTCGAATAATGATTATTTATTATTAAAATATAATGGATTTCAAATTGAACAATGATTTGAATGTTAAATGTGAAAATAAATCATGTATTTTCACGGATAATAATGGTCAGATAGACTAAAAAATATTCAAAAAAATAAAGAACTTACTTACTTAGTCCTCTTTGTTCCTTGTGGAGCATAGGGCTACTACAGTCGCTCTCCACCTTACTCTGTTTTGGGCTGTTCTTTTTGCCTCATTCTAGGTCTTAATTTCCAATGTTTTCAAGCTCTTTCAATTTTGTTCTCTCCTCCCATATATGTAATGGGCGCCTTTGTTTTCTCTTAACCTTGTGGATTCCAATCCAGTGCCTATCTAGTGATGCTGTTTTGGGGCTTTCTCCATGTTTGACCAATCCACTGCCATGCTCGTTTCTGAATCTGGAGGGATGTTGGTTCTTGGCTGGTACGCTCCAGTAGCTCGATATTTTAAATGGCCATATCAGATGTGTCGTAGGCATTTGTTGGTAAATACTTGGATTTTTAGGTCACCTGAGTAAACTCAGGTGACCTATTGCTATCTGTTTTCGTCCGTCGTCGTCCGTCGTCGTCCGTCGTGCGTCGTTCGTCGTGCCTTAACATTTGAACATTTTCAGCTTCTTCTCTGAAAACCACTGAACCAATTTCAACCAAATTTGGCACAAAGCATCTATGGGTGAAGGGGAACAAAAATTGTGAATTTCATGATCCCTTCCCCCCTGGGGCCTGAGGGGTGGGGCCAAAACCACTAAAATTAATGCAATCTTTAAAAATCTTCTTCTTTACTCCTGGACATCAAGCAATCAAACTGTTTGCATGATTGTAATCAGCAATGAGTCCTCTACCAAAATTGTGAAATTCATGGCCCTGGGGTCAGGGGTTCTAGTGCTAGGGCGGGGCTAAATAAGTAGGTAGTGAAAATGCATTATTTCTTTGAAAATCTTCTTCTCTGCTCCTGGGTATTAAATAAACCAACAAAGTACATAGTTATGACGAGCAAGAGTGCCTCTACCAAAATTGTGAATTTTATGGCCCCAGGGTCAGGGGTTCTGGTGTTAGGGCGGGGCTCTATTGATTATATAGTGAAAATGCATTATTTCTTTGAAAATCTTCTTCTCTGCTCCTGGGTATTAAATAAATTAACTAAGTACATAGTTATGATGAGCAAGAGTGCCTCTACCAAAATTGTGAATTTTATGGCCCCAGGGTCAGGGGTTCTTGTTTTAGGGTGGGGCTCTAATGATTATATAGTGAATTGCATGAATTCTTTGAACCTGATTAATATGCTAATGATCTAATTACATATTTAAGGCCAGGATTTATTTTATTTTCAGTTGTACAAAGCCTCCGCTCAAGGTTTTGAATTTTCAGAAAAAAATAAAACAATATTTTCTTTACGATGTCAAATATGATTCGGGATCGAGATTTCAAATTTACGAACTCGCACTTCCGGTTTTAAGATGAAATAAAGCTAGATCTGAGTAGCTTGGTTTAGTGTAAAATTCATCGATTCGAGTGCCATTCAAAACGTTTCACCCGTTCAAAGGACAAATAAAATGCTGACGACTTTGTTGCACAATGACATGCTGGTGAGATAATTATGTATTCGTTTCAAAAGTATCTGTCTGTAAATTTTTTTCCTCCCCCAGGTTTTAAACTGCCCGTGGTAGCTATTGCATATTGCCAGCGACATTGTTTAGGTCTCTGTTATAGCTTACAGTCTAAGCATCATTCTTCAGATAAAGGTTGCTTATGCATCAGATGTAATGAATAAAACTATGGGAGAAGTTAAGTCCATTTGAGGAAGAAATGAACAATAACCTGAAGAAAAAAAAATTCAACTATTAAAAGGCAAGAATTTACAAATATATACAGGCATGTAGTATCATTTGTATCAGCCAGAGAAATTATTTTAAAATTAATTGAAAAAATATTCACCCTACTCCCCAATACTCCCTGTCTGTTTTATGATAGGACTTATAATTTTAGGCATCAAGTAAATTTTAGAACAATGTCTACACATTCACCTAACACATATTAAAAAAATGAAGATATATTGAAAGACTTTTAAAGAATTGATTTTTTAAAATATATTTTGACCAACATCACAAAATTTATATAACTGGCCCAAACTGGCAGATGATGAAATAAACAATTAAATGTTCTACTTTCCTATTTGTAAGCATTATGTGTCCAGTGGTAAGGAGCCTATTAGAATAGCATAAAAAAAAATGTACAATTGATTTATCAAAAAAAAATTTTTATTTCCTTCTCCTTCGGGACTTTTTTAATCTCATGACGTTCATAACTAAACCTAAACATAAAAAAAAATGCTGGCCTTATAATGAAGAGAGGGGCCTCTTTGAAAATAGATAAATTCAGGGCCGCTGGGTCAGGGGTACCATGGGGGTACTTTGACTAAAAATAAATTAATGCTTTGAAATCTGCCCTTTGATAAGCAATGGTGCCTCTTTCAAAATTTGTGAATTTCATGGCTTTTGGATTTAAACACGAACCAAATACAATCGCTGGAAAGTTGTTACGTGATACTCAGGTGACCTATAAGGCCCGTGGGCCTCTTGTTTGTTGTAGTCCTGCTGTTTGTCTCCAGGTTTCACATCCAAAAAAGCACTGATTTAACATTGGTATTCAATATTCTGATCTTTGTGCTTTTACTTGGTGTACTGGAACTCCTGAGAGGTTTGAGCATTGCGAATGCTTGTCGGGTTTTGCTTTTTCTGGCTTTCATGTCTTCTTTTGAGCCACGTGTATTACTGATGATGGACTCTAAGTAAGTAAATTGTTCCACCTCTTCCAGTTCTTCCCCCTCAATTGTGATTGGTCCACTTTTTCTAGTCTTGACTTTCATAACTTTTGTTTTCTTGCTGTTAATTTTTAGCCCTATCTTCTTTCCAGTTTCATTTAGCTTGTTGGTCTTTTCTCTGATATCTTTTATTTGGCGGGACAGTAGGGCAATGTCATCGCCAAAATCCAGGTCTCCCAATCTTCTGAACATTGTCCCTTGTATTCCCCTTGGTCTTTCGAATGCCTGCTTTGTGATCCAGTCTATCACTATTAGGAACAGAGTGGATAAGAGTAAGCAGCTTTGTTTCACTCCAGTTTCGACTTCAAATGAGTCAGTGAGGGATGTTTCATCATGTATCACTTGCACTGAGAATTCTTCATATAGGGTCTTAATAATATTCACTTTCTTAGATGGTAGTCCATAGTGTCTCAGCAGTTGCCACATTACATCTCTGTTTACACTGTAAATTGCCTTTTCAAAGTCGATAAAATTTATATACAGAGATGATTGCCATTCAACAGATTGCTCAACGATAATTCTTCGAGCTGCAATTTGGTCCGTACAGCTTCTGTTGGATTTAAAGTCTGCATTTTTATCCCGTAAGTCTTTATCCACCGCATCTTTCATCATGTTCAGTATTACTCTACAGAGGATTTTGCTGGCTACTGGCAGCAGGGTAAAGCCTCTCCAGTTTTCACAGCAGCTTAGGTCTTCCTTTTTTGGCAGTTTAACAAGTAGCCCTTTTTTCCATTCTGTTGGTTTACTCTCAGCTTCCCAGATTTTATTTAATAGTTTAAACAGATAGTCACTTATCTCCTATCCTCCATATTTCAACGCCTCTGGTGGTATACCATTTACTCTAGCCGCTTTCCCATTCTTCAATGATTTTAAGGCTTTGATGATTTCCTGTTTTTTATAATGTCAACTTCTATGTTAATGTCTTCCCCTGGTGGTAAGGTTTCCGGTTGGCCTGGTTCTGGCCTATTCAAGACATCAATGAAGTGCTCATTCCACCTCTCCATTTGTTCATTTAGTTTGGTGAGGACTTTACCATTTTTGTCTTTGACCGGTTTAGACTTGCATGTTTTACGTCTACTTAATGTTTTGTTGATGTCGTAGAGAGAGTTTCCCATGTAGGCAGCTCTTTCTGCTTCTGTTGCAAGTTGGTTAACATACTCTCTTTTGTCATTCCTGCATGATTTTTTTGTTAAATTTCCTTATCTTAAGTTTGGTGCTTGGGATGGGCATTTCTTTTGTGCTCTTGTTTTAACTTTCTTAACTTTTTCTTTCATAATTAATTACGCCTTTCTTCAACTTTCTTTTATGTGGTGTCAGACATCCAATCTTTCTTCTTGTTGGTTTTCCTTCCTAGGACTTCTTCACATGTATTCTTGATGATATCCCTAATATTCCAGCAGTCCATTCACCCTCAATATCTAGTTCTTGAACCTCACTGTATAGTGCACTGAATGTATTCCTTAGTTTTCTAATTGGAATATGTCCTTATCAGTTAGGTTTTTCAGTTTGTCTACATTGTACTTTTTTCTC